CCCCGCCCCCGGCACACAGCCCCGCCCGGCACGCAGCCTCACTTCCAGCTCCTGCTCCCGCTGCAGGGCGAACTGGCGGAAGGACTTGACGATGAGGCCGGCGTTGGAGCAGTCATAGACGAAGATCGATGGGCTGCCCATCCACGTCTGCAAGTCGTAGATCGACAGCGGGATGTACTGCGTGTAGTTCTGGAAACAAAACACAGCACGTGGGTGACGCACAGCCGACGGCCACACGGCCAGTCCTGCCCGGTGCACCCAGGGGGGCATCGCCAACAGGGTCCCAGGACCCCAGGTGGCCGCCTCGCCTGTCCTAGGCGCCCAGTTTGCGGGGAGAGCGGGAAGCGGCGTGAGGTGCAGGCGAGCGCGGCTCCCTCGGACGCCAGGACCCTCCCCGAATGCACACGCGCTGGACACGGAGCTCCGCTCGCAGCGGGACCAGGGACCACACCACAGTCCTGGCCCCCGGTCTGAACAAGCCCTGGGCAGCGCCGATAGGTAAGCACCTCCCCAGAGACAACTCCACACAGCAGTTACGTGTTTTCTAATAGGAAGGTCAGTGCTGATAACAGAAGGACTGGACGCACCCATCGCCCGGGCTGAGCCACACACATGCCCCACTGGCCGGGCGAACCTCATCCTCAGGGGCATGACCCTCTGAGTGGCTGGAGCACAGCCTCTGATCGTGGAATGTGAGATACAGGGTGGCGGGGAAATCCTCCAATATTTGGAGATTAAATAACATGCGTGTCAACAAAGAGATCACGGGAAAGCAAAAACCGTTGGAACAGGACAAAGTGAAAATAGGACGGGTTGAAACTTGACCAGAGCTGTGCTTGCAGGAAAAGGCACAGCCTTAGGTCCTTCTGAGAAAGGAAGAAAGGCTAAAGCTAAGATCTAAATTCCTGCCTTAAGAAGCTAGACAATGAGCAGTCAAACTGAAGTAAATAGAAGGGAGGAGATAAAGAGGATGAAGTGGTGAAAGAGAGAATAGCTGGTAGAGAAAGTTAACGTTGCTAAGATTTGTGTTTTTAAAAGATCGGTAAAGTGGGCAAGCCTCTAGCTAGAGAGAGTGAGAATAAAAAGACACGGTCAGTCAACACGTTTCAATCAACACGGGCCCTACAGGCACCGAAAAGGTAAGACACAGCAACCATTTTATGCCAAACTTTTAAAAAGTCAAATTAGATGGAAAATGCCTTAAAAATACAACTTACCAGAAGCGACCCAGAAAGAAACAGGAAGCCTGAACAGCCCCGTGCCCCTCACAGAAACATGCCAGCCAGGAGCCTCCCTACCAGGAGCCCGGCAGGAGCCGGCCCCGGGGCAGGGCTGGGCTGCGGGCTGGGGACACTTCAGTTCCCCGATGTGTCCG